AAATAATGTAAGAGGGAGCGGTTCTTAGTGGTAGGATATAAACTTTATTATAACTATAAATTTTGAAAAACACCTGGAAAAATATAAAAGTTTTTTTCTGTGTTAGAGATACTTATACTATTAGTGTGTTTTTCGTCAATTAGGTAAGCCAGCACATTTAACATTAATGAGACAAATTTATTTCCTAAAGTAGGAAGATACTACATTCAAACCTTTTTTTTTTGTTGAAATAACCAGGAGAGGTTTCTGATAAGCTCTTAGTACTGCAAAAAAGATCTTCTCCTCGCGTTTCTTATGAGATGTTTTCAAATATGAAACTTTATATGTTAAGTCAAAGTCTAGCTTTTTAAACCAATATTTTTCTACAATTTACTAAAAAACATTGAACTATTGAGACCATATAAAGAACAATTTTACCATACTCGTATTCTACAGGTATGGATAGTTAGTAATAATAACTTAAATATAAAATATATTTTACGTATAAATTATTTGTATATAAAATATACTTTACATATACATTAGTTCCGCAGTAAAAACTCACAAACCAGAGAATAATTTTATTAGCTATCTGTATAGCTGGCATCCCCTTTGTATATGATTTTGAGATTTCACACTGTAAGACAAGTGAGATCCCTCTTTCTGATATTGAACAATGATTTCAAAATAATTTTTTAATATTTTATTTTAATTATTGAAAATTATCTGCTATAAAATTTCTGTTCCTTTGAAATTTGATAATATAACTAGAATCGAATAAATAGTAGTAATTCATATACAAGACAAAGTCAGGGTCATGACATTGCATACCATTAAATGTATTCAAAATACACTGTAATCATAGATGAGTATTTGACTTTATGAAATAACTGACAAACGGAATTTAGATTATTTAAGTTTTTACAAAAAGGAATTTCTAATATTCAAAAAAATTTGAATGATTTAAAAAGCAAAAAAAAAAAAAAAAAAAAAAAGAAAAAAAAAAATTGTTACAAAAACTGATCTCGTGAAAATTTTAATTATAGAAAACATATTAGTTTAAATGCAAGAATTGTCATATGTAAAATTTTATGTAAAAATATATTAACTTTTTTTCAAATTAATATCAAAAAACATCCGGATCAAAAAACACATAGGGTGTATTACACATCATCTATGTGTAATACACCCTAGCTACTTCAGTGTTAAAAGTAGTATGAATATGAGGTATACACAATATATTTCTATATGAAAATAATTGAAAAATCAAGAAGTACCTATCAAATAATTGAAATATGCTTCTTGTGGATTTAGTGAGCAGTACTATAAGTACATAAGAGATTCAATTCTCAGCATTCAAATTATTAATGCTATGTACTCTTTGATGCAAGTGTTATCAGTAAGGATATGAATGGAGGGGCCAACAACCAAAATATAGAACCTGTGTCGACTAATTTAGGTTTGGTTGTAATGGTTGCTTCAACTTCATGTCATGAAGTTGAAGCTAAATTTAGACAACACTTCAAACATTGAAAAATAAGATAATTTAAGGTTAGGTTTAGAAGTCTTTGAAATTAAATTTTAGTCTGAAAATTGTTTCAAAATAAGATAAAGGTATTAGAAAATAATATATCTATATCAATTTTGCTTTCAGTGGGGCAAATGGAAACAAACTAAATTCAAGAAAACTAAGTTTTGCGCCAGGAACATGGAAGAGAAATGTCCAAAAAGAAAGTCACCAATCAGGAAAGAGTTATGTTAGTTGCAGAGGGAAACAAGTACCCCAAAACACATTGAAAACCAAAAAATTGTTTAAGTAACTGTTTTTACATTTACTTAAAAAATATTTCTAAAGAAAAACATAATCATTACATTTTTCTTAAACAATTGGGTTACTTAAATCATATTTTTCATGAAAAGTATGTGTTTATCGCAGCAACAACTGAGAAAATATGTGAATTCCACCTAATGGAATTTTTTTTTTCAGGAGGCATATCAACTCATTTTATTGAGTTAGTTCACATTATTGTTGAGCTAAAACATTTAAGAAGTATTTAGAATCCAATTTGAACATTCACAAATTGTTTGAGCTATATGAAGAATACAAATCTCCTGTAAAACTTTCCATCTGTGTTTTCAATAATGAATTCAACATTACTTTCCATATACCAAAAAACGAGAGATGTAATACTTGCGTATTGTTGAAAAAATCTAATATTGAGAGCATTGAGCAAAGTATCAGAAACATATTTATCAAAAAATTTCAATGAGGAAGAAAAAAATAAAGATAAATGTGGAGATTTTCCTTTAGTCATGTTTGACTTGCAAAATCTTTCAAGTTGCCCAAGAGGTGGAGTGGGCTCCTATTATCCCAGAAAACTAAACATGTACAACTTGACATCATTTTTAGCACAACAAAATGGAATATTCGAAAAAATATTTGACTCCTGGTCATTCAGGAACACAAGAAATGGACAATATTCAAAGCCAGATTGAAAAAATTATGAAAGCAAATAAATTTTATTCACCAATTAAATTTATTTGGTTATTAAATGGGTCAAATAAATAAAAAAAAAAACATTTTGAATTATTCAAATGCAATCAAATGATTTTAAAGATTTTAGCATATAAAATCTTTAATTATAAAAGAATCAAGGATATTCAAAAAAATATTGTTTAAGATTGACACAAAGTCTTTTTGAGTTGGGATACAAAGTCTCATTTTGGGAAGAGGCCTAAACAAATGTTAACATCAAACCAGTAACACCCAAAATCTAAAAGAACCTAAAGTTTTAACGATCATTTTGTGCGAAGAGAAAAAAAAAGATTTAAAAGAAATGATTAAATTTATGTTGTTTAAAGATCAGAATTATTATAAAGCAATTCTTATATTAAAAAAAATCATAACAATTAATTCGTTATTTAATACTATTTAATAAAAAGTGTTTCTATTTATGTAGTTTTGCTGTGTTTCAAACTATCAAAAAGTTAAAATCCATAAAAAATGAGTATGTAATCCATAAAATTTAGTATGATGGGATATTTGAAAATAATTAAGAACAGTATGAATCTAATGGAGGCGAGAACTTTGTTGCTTCCATATTATGAAGATATGAGAGCAGCAAGGCAAGGCTGTGGAGTCGGAGTCGCAAAATTTTTAGCAGAGTTGGAGTTGCTAAGCAAAATGGCAACTCCAACTCCAACAGTAAAACTTCTTGGTATTGCACATGCATGTAGAAAGTATTTAACCTTCAAAAAACTTTTCATATATTTGGCAATATTATTACCATTATAATTGTTTTATCAGCTTCAACTGCACTTGCAAAGCCAATTGCAACAACTATTTTATTTCTGTAACACTCACAAACTTTTTTTTCTCTTAATATCAGCCACCATGTTTTATTAGCCCCATTACACTCTTTCCAAATTTTTGTATCTACCTCAACTTTTTTTTCCTCCAAAACAAAAAATTATCTGTAACTTAAAGCTCTGAACACAAACCACCTTGACCTTCCCTGGTTTGATGCCTTCTTTGCACCAAATCATAATCTTATCATATAATAAAATAAATAATAAAAACACCTATTCATCTTATTACCACAATCATATCCACTTTTTTACTCTCTTTTAGCCATAAAACTTATTTGTTCAATAAAAATATTTATGAATATTTTTTAGGATAAAAGGTGATCTTTTAAATATTCAGTAGCATCTCTATAGACGTAACCATTTCATTTTTATTTACAACTTCAGGAGTTCAAAATTGTAAACTATAATAAATAAGCATTTATATATTTTAGATGATTTATAAAAAATTAATTTTTTGTAAAAACATAAATAACACCAAAGAATCTAATTTTAAGAATTGTAATGTAATGTAATGCATAATTTAATGTGCAATGTAATGTGTAAGACTTGAAATATAATGTAATTTGTAAGAACATAATTTTAAGACTTGTAATGTAATGTGTCTTCACGCTTGGTGTTGACTTGCAGTTGACCTCAGTGAAGTCCAAAATGTAACTATTTTTAAGTTTTAAGAGTCGGTATATAAAAATGAAGAAATTTTAATTTAAAAGTAAAGCCTATATATTAGTCAGTAGATTGACATGTCTAATTAAAAAAAGATTTTCAACTTAAAAAAAAAATAAAGACATAAATATACAACTATGTTTTAAAAAATAATTAATGTATGCTTTTTTAGGCATGTGAGATATGTAAAATATCTCACATGCCTAATAAAACAGGTGGTGGGAATAAAAGAAGAGTGCAAGAATTTAAGTAAATATCTAATAAATGGAGACCGGGGGTCTTAATAAAAGGGTGAGAATTGTTCAATATTTTTTACTTAGTTATAACAAGCATAGATCATCTAGGTAAATTGATAAAAATCCGGAAAATTGTTTGGGTAAAATATCAGGAATATATTTTCCCTTATTTTCATTTTAATTTTGCTCTTAGATGAGCTGTTTCAAATTTTTTTTTAATTTTAGTAAGAGTGATGAGTAAAAAAAATTAAAAAACAAATATAATACAAAAATATATTCCTAAAATTGTATATGTATGGAAAACATTTTGGCTATCCGGAAAAACTAAAAAAAGTCCAGAGTTCCTGAAATATCTGGAAAAAGATAATATCTGATAACAAGTAAAAAATATTGAACAAAAGGGGATCTTGATAGGCTTTGGATAGGTGGGAATATTTTCCAAAAATAATTCAATGCCTCCTCCATGTATAGAGCACATAAGAGTATAAAACAACCTCTAGGGATGTGACGCTATAATTTTAACTAATAAAACCACTAACTTTTTTGGGTATAAAATTAATATGACCCTATCAAAGTAACTGCCTTTATGTCACTGCAAACATATCTTGTCAAGTTCTGATAGAAATCTGGTTATATCTAACCATAGAAATTTAACAAAACTAGGTTAAGTAAACGAACAGTAATACCATTACTAATCTGCTAAACCTTACCAAAATCTATTCAAACACAGAAAACTATGTATTAAAAATCAACCTGGTATTCAAATGCCCAGAACCATCTGGAAGATTTACAGAATAACCTCCTTTGTTTGCCAAATGCTGTACATTTGATTTGTTAAAAAGTGGTTCACCCAAGAATTGATCTTTGGATTGAGAAACACTTGCTTCATTTAAATTAGGAACTTTTGGATATTTAACAGATTTTGGGTTAGGTGTTGAAGCTGCATATGATGTATTATATAAACCTTCAGAAGAAAATGGTTGTTCAAGAAGGGAAGGATCTAACTTCATTTTTGGCTTTGTGTAAGTATTTGAAAAAATTTCACCTTGATGTTGATTATCATTCTGTACCATTAAACCTATACAAAATGTAATAATAATAATTTTTATAACAATAATACATTAAATTTTTTAACACTTGAGTAATTTTTTTATTATTAATATTATTTTTTCACATTTATTTGGTTATGAGCATCCATAAAGTAAGTAAACAGGAAAAATACTGATTTAGGACCCCTTCCCCTTTGTATGGTATGTTTTATTACAAACTCTCCCTTCCCCAACGCATAAACTTTTCAAATTATTAAAAACAAAAAAAACTATTTATTTATTTACATATTATTGATTTTTTAAACTTTTAAAAAGTGCTTGCCAAAAAAAAAAAAAAAAAAAAAAAAAATGCATTATTTTTAAACTGCAACATTATTTTTAAACTGCAATTTTTTTGTTCATGTTTAATTTTTATAAAAAATGGCTTTTTATTACCAGTTTTTTTTATTTTATTATTATTTTATTTAGTATTTATTCAAAGAATTCTTTTCGCTATTTATATATATATATATATATATATATATATATATATATATATATATATATATATATATATATTCATATATATATATAAACATATGTATATATATGTATATATATATATATATATATATATATATATATATATATATATATATATATATATATATATATATATATATATATATATATATATCCTTATAGTGTAGTCAAAAGAGACTTTTAATGAAAAAAAATTTTTTTTGACTACAATTTTGCTACCTCGACAATTAAGCTACATTTTATTGTTGTCGAAATGTCAAAGCAATTAAATTAATGCAGAAGTACATTAAATTTTATTATTTTTTAAAAAAACTGGAATAATAATGACTAGAAAGTTTTTTTAAATTAATTGTGTTTTTGTTGTTGTTTTATTAAAATATATTTTTAAAACATGCGCGGATTTTTGCCACATCAACAATCTTATAGCCTGCTGCTACAAGGGAGTTCTGCTACATCAACTGAGGGTTTGGTTTGGGCAGGCAGTCTATCATTTAAAAAAAAAAAATTTCAAAGTTTTTTAACATTTTCTGGTCAGGCTTATTAATGCGCTCTTTAAAATAACAGTTTATGGGAAAAACTTTTTGACTACCATGCAAGGCTAATATATATATATATATATATATATATATATATATATATATATATATATATATATATATATATATATATATATATATATATATATATATATATATATATATATATATATATATATATATATATATATATATATATATAATTTCTTTGAAATGTCTTTAAGTTTTAATAAAACTAAAAAATTTATAAGCACAAACTTTTTGTGCCAGTCTTTGGAAAATGTTATTATTTTTTAAAAGCTTGTGACTATCAATGTCATTGAAGTAACCACCATGGTGCAGTAAATTCTAGATTCTTGAAATGATGATTAACAATCGCTAGAAGAGTTCCATTAGTGAAATAACATTCAAAATGTTATTCACGTAAATGGTATTCATCAATACTCTTGTGTGTTGAGCTTTTAAATCAGCATGTGACATTTTTTTGTTGAGAACTGTTTGTTTTGTTACTCTTATCAGTTAACTTAACATCTCCCATTTTCAATAAAAATTCTCCACCATCTGTTCAAACTTAAAAAAATGTAGTTGTAATTTCTGTTAAGCGCCTTGTTTGTTAAATTCTCTAAATTTTTGCAGTAAAAAACAGTTTTTGTTCTTTGTTTTTTTTTTGTTTTTTTAGACAGCATTAAATTCTTATTCAAAACTTTTTTCAATTTTTTTATTATATTAGCCTCATAAGATTTGTGGGCCTCGTATTTAATGATAATGTAAATCATATTTAAAATGTGAACAGACTTAGTACTTTTTTCCGCCTAATATTATTGATTCTTCAAATGTTTTTTGACATTAAAAAAAATATTATTTACTTGGATTAACTGGAAATAAACCTTCCCTTTTGCTTGACTAAGCAAGTTATTTCTTGACTTTTTGGTATTGATATTTTTGATATTTCTTGATATTTTGATATCCTTATTTGGCATTATACTTGCCTTATTTGGCATTATACTTGATTTCTTTAGTTTAATTGCTTCATCATTTTAAAGTTAAATTATTGTATTTTTACAATTATTTTTGTTATATTTCACATTATTATTACTCACAAGATTATTTCAATTACTGTTTATTTAAACAAAAATTATTTATTTGTAAAATTAAAAAGTGAATTTTAAAAACTATATTTTAACTACTGCAATTAAATGTCAATTGTTTCTTTTTATTTTAATCAGCCATTTGAGAAACACCTTATGTCCATTTTTGGACAAAATTGAGTTAGACATTAAATTTTTGGTGAAGGCTAGACACATCCAATAGGCATAAAAAAATTCATTTCCATTTAGTCACCAAGGTGATGCCACATTTGAAAATAACCATTCTTTTGAGAAACACTTCTTTTGATTTTTAATTTATTTTTTCATTTTGATTACACAAGTTTACTTTATAGCTTATGAGGTATTTATTCGAATGATGGATTTATTTATATTTGAGCTTAATACAATTACGTGTAAGTTAAGCCAATTTATTTATTATTTAAAAAAAAATTTAATCAGATTTTCCAAACTTTTCATCAATTACCACAATATTATGTCAATTTTTTATTTTTGTTTGCACTTAAGGTTGATCTATAATTCATTAACTTAATAAACAATAAACTCAAACTGAAAGGGTTATAAAATTTACATGATCACTATTTCTAAACATCAAGAGATTTTTGGACAAACCTTGAATTCTATTTAAGAACTTTAAAATACTTATAGATGACAAAGTTTCTAAAAACTTCCTTAATTCAAAGGAAGTCAAGAGACAAAAATAATAGGATATTTTTGTTCTCAAATTCTGATTGTCATAAATTTTTTAAATCATTCTCATTTGATGGTATCATGAACATACATTAATTTAGAGTTTACACTATATCTAAAAATTATTTTGACCCAAAAAAATCTACATGTTTAAATGCCAAAATTGAACTCTAAAAACAAAACGAAATAATTTTAAAAAACCAAAAAGTACTGATAAAGTCTATAATGATTCCATAGAAAACATTTTTGATTTGTCAGATAAAGTTGATTGTGAATTTCACACAGAGTTTTATATAAAAAAACGCCAATTTTTTTTTTTTTAAAACAGCATGTTTTTTGCCATAACCTAATATAGGTTTACATAAATAAAAAACAAATTCACAAAATATAAATTTTTTTAAAGAACTCATTAAAAAAGCTAAAGATTTTGTATTTAGTTATTCATATAAAATGATGAAAAAAAAACTTTGAAATTGATGTTTTTATTAAACGCTTTGTAATGCTTCATACTTTTTCTGTTTTAATTTTTTATATATATTTATTTTTGGAATAGAGCATTTTTTCTTTTTTTTAATTCTGATTTACTCCCAACAAGGTTGCAAGCAACCATTATTAAGTTGGGAGTTACTAAAAAAAAAAGAATAGAGTTATAGAACAAGGAAACGGTTAACAGAAGACTTAAAAAGTTGAAGGTTGTATGAGTCAGAAAAATATGAAGATGAAAAAAAAACTAGACGAATTAAAGTTTTTGGAGCATGCAGGGGTAGATACAGCTAAAAAATGAGACTTTGATGAATGATGAGTCAAGCAAGAATGAGTTTTAGTTGATGGAACAAGAGATAATAGCTCATTTGAGCAGTGACCATGATAATATTATTAGAAAAGAGAAAGATGCATGATATGTATGATAAATATATACATGTATGTGTGTAAGTCCAACTACATTTACAATGCATTTTTGGATCTTGTCTAGAAGAGAAAGATCATCATTAGAAGAACCAGCCCAAATATGACAACAGTAGTCCATACAGGGAGAGAATGGAATCAGGAGAAAGAAAATGATGAACACAATAAAAAAAGCAACTTGGCAAATGTTAATTTAGCAATCGATTGTATATATGGTTTCCATGAAAGGTCAGTAGTAAATGATAATTTAAAAAGACGTAAAGAAGAGAACTCACAGAGAGGGTTGCTATTCATTAATATAGGAACGAACAGAGAGGCTATTCATTAATATAGGAACAATGCTATTCATTAATATAGGAACAAACAGAGAAGGTTGCTATTCATTAATATAGGAACTATTGACATAGTACTGTGATAGTTCTTTGCAGTAAATAATTGAGTTTTGTTAGAGTTAAAATTTACAAACCACTGCAAGCCCCAATATGTTACAGAAGTGAAATCAGATTCAAGATTGGCTGCCTGTTCTAAGCAGTTAAAAAGAGAAGACTTTTTTTCAAGACAGGAGTATAAAATTAAGTCATCAGCAAAAAGAACTACTTTAGATGTAAGGTTGTCGGAAAGATCATTTATGTAGATGAGAAATAAAATAGGACCAAGGATAGAACCTTGAGGTACCCCAGAAGTTACTGGAAATAAAGAAAAGTGTTAGCCTTTAAGGATAATTTTAATAAAATGATTAGAAAGAAACGATTTAATAATCTCAAAAACTTTCCTAGATACACCATATGAAACAAGCTTATGGAGAAGACCAACCAGTTAAACTTTGTGGAAAGTCTTAGATATCTACAGTTAAATACCAAACAAAACAAAAGTTTCAAAAGAAATTACTTCTACGGACCGCTCAACCTTATTTTACCAAGTGGACAGGCTGTAAATCAAAAAATCTATTTAAACAAATTAAGAAGAGACTTATTCCATTCATCAATAAGTATCATTCAGATGGTGCATATGTATTCTGGCCAGATTTAGCATCATCTCACTATGCAAAAACAGTAATCATGTAGCTAAACAAAGAAACTGTGCATTATGTTGAGAAAGCAGATAACCCTGCAAACTTGCCAGAATGTTGCCATATCGAAAATTTTTGGAATATTTTGAAAGACCTTGTCTACAACAATAATTGGCATGCAGAAAATCTTAAAAAATTACGTTCTAGAATCAAGTGTTGACTTAATAAAATTGATATTGAGCTCATATGGAGACTAGCTC